TTTCGGGTGAAGTTAGTAAACCAGATGCTCTGCTGGAACCCTGAACGCTTTACCTGACGTACGTTTGTTTGGCTTGGAGCTTCTAGTGTAAACATGTGACACACACAGTCCTGGGTCCATAAAGTATTGCTGCCGAGAAACACCAGGTTTCTTCTTCTTTCGGTAACAGCCTTATTGAGACAGAATTCATCTACCATATAATTCACCCGTTGATAGTGTAAACTTACAAAGCAAAGAAAAATCTTGAAGAGTGGATGTGACAGTGATTTTTAGCGTATTCAGAGGGGTCGACCCATCCCCATGATCAACTTGAAAGCGCTTTCATCACCCAATAAGAAGCCCCATGCCCAGGGAGCAATCACTCCCCATTCCCCCACCCTCATCCTCTGTTCCATGCATATGTGAATATGTATAGAGATGATTGTGTGTGTAAACCATTCTGTGCCTTTTTTTTTTAAAGTTTCCAAATTGGAATTTTTATTTTTGGGTGTGCAATGAATTCACTGTGTTCAAAGTTTTAAGGATACATAACAGGAAAAAACCACCTCATCCCTCTCCCCAGAGCAGTAACTCTTTAGTATCCTGTGTCATTGCAATTCTGTCATTGCAATCCTGTGCAATTCTGCCTCACTTAATGACAAAGGCATGTTCTGAGAATACACTGTTGGCCAACTTCATTGCTGTGCCCGTTCCCCAGAGTGTAATGACACAAACCTAGGCTTGAGGGCATAACCTCTTGGGACCACCTTTGTACATTTGTTCTCATTGACCAACATGACATTAAGCGACACAGCTGTACAAGCAAAAGTAGTATCGCTTTCCTTTTTCATTCTCTGTCTTTTGTACAGATGGGCGCATACAAGAAACACTATCTTGTACCTTGACTTGTCACTGAAAGGTTGATCTTGGAGGCAAATGTACACATGAGAACATACACCTGTGCCTTCCTCCTTTTTATGACTGCATACTATTCCACAATGTGGCCTTTAGCTTGTTACTTGGAGCCCCTTACCTGACCCAATGATGCTGCAGTAAATATCCTGCCTTGTAGGTCTTATACACATGAGTGAACTGGGCTTTGCTGTTGATAAACTCCTGGAGATTCCAATTTGATTCTTCCCAGTAATTGCCAAGGCTGGTGGCAGAGACAGTTTGTGGCACCCACCTTCCCGCGCTTGCCAGAAAACCCACATTCTGAGGTGAAACCCAGCTCCTCGTGCCATCATGTGGCTGTGGCTGAGTGTGGGAATCTGCAGTGCTCACCCTCCGGCGTCTGGGTTAACACAGTGTCTTTTCCACATCCATGCCCAGGTGGAGTCTTTTGTGGACCTGAGGCAGGCAGGACAACTCACACCCCAGGACCAACTCAAGGTACTGCCCACTTCTGGAGATGCTCTTGGAACCACCAGACAGCTGCTCTGTCTCCAAAAGTGGAGTCTCTGAAGCTTCCTTTGCTACAAAACAGACCAGAAAATCCCAGACACAGTGTCTCCTTTTAGAATAAACAGCCCTGCTTAGCTTTCCAGGATGATGATGCCTGTAACACAATAGTTCCTGCTTGTTAAGGAATGGTGGTGGGGTGCCAGGCACTGGTCAGCCCTGGGGGTACATGATTTCATTGTATGACTATTAAAACTCAGAGGCAGCTAAGCCATCACTCCCATTTAATTGAATTGGAACCAAAGCCATGCTTCAAAGGCCACACAACTAGCAGGTGGCAGCATTTAGACCAGTTGGGCTGTCTGATCCCCAGGCCCAGGGTGGAAGTCACTGCTTGCCACCGAGATCCCTGCCCCTCTGCACCAGAAAGAGCCCTTTTCTTTCATTCTTCCTCTATTATAAAGGTAAGGGTCAACCTTGATCAGGGAAAAGAGGGAGGAGACACCCTGAAGCCCTAAGCTAAACATTGACTTCCTCTTAGACACTGGTATCTAGCTAACTACAGTCATGCATAAAATTTAGATTTCTGCTTTATCACCAAAGTCCTAGGAAGTAGCTCAACAAAGCCCAGCGTGGGGGCCACAGCAGGGTCGTGGGCAGTCTGGGCAGCCTGACAGAGAACAGGGAAGCCCAGGGACCATCCCCTGCTGGGGTCTGTCCCTCCCCAAAGGTCTCTCTCCTGTGACCTCTCAGAGAGGGACCCCCACACTAGACATCTCATGGGAAGCAAGCCAGTGGATGGAGAGCCCACCTGGTGCCCCAGGCACAGAGCTGGGTGGGGAGAAGATCTGAGGGAGAACTGGGCTGGGGAGACCCGGGGAGGGGGCAAAGGCCCCCTGGTTTGTAAAACAAGACTATGGGGTGAGCATTTCCCATGTTATTCTATACCCATCACATACAGTTTCCTAGTGCAAAGTGTATGCTGTGGATCGCACCTGCTCCTTCAGTGGCTGTCAAGGACCTTGAAATGACCTAGTTCATTTGCTCCCTCTCTCTACTACCCTACAAACCTGAGGAGGTCAGAGCTGTGGAAGTGTGACTGGTGACTAGACTGTCTGCCATCAGCAGGTGGGATGGGGCTGATGCTAACGGGAACAGTGTTCCCACCACCTGTGGTGTTAGGCATGTCCTAGCTACTATCTTGTTTCCTGTGGGGCTTAGTTAAGCCAGGGCCTGGGTTCAGATCCTGCCTCTGTACTGACTCACTCTGACCGTCACCAACTTAAATGCACTCTCTGTGCCTTAGTTTCCTCCCTTCAAATGAAGATAAATCACCCCCTTATTAGGATTATATCGACGCTACATGGAGAATGCAAAGTGCTTTAGCCCAGAGCCTTCATGCTACGTAACTGCTAACTAATACCGATGATAGAAAACTTTATCTGTCCTGATAATCTGTACGGATGAGTGATCTAAGATTTTGCAAATCAAGAAAGAGGGTCCATGTCTCTCAAGTAGTAGGTCCTTAGGAGACATAGTCAGAGTATTTGAAGCTACAACTGCCATGGAACATTGGGGTCCTTCTAAGCCTACCCAGGAAGGGCTGGGGCCAGAGTTGTATACGCTGTGTCTGCTGCGTCAGACTGATGGCTGAGGGCTCTACCAGGACAGGCAGGCCCCAGAGGGTCCCAACTCAGGGACCTCAAGGACTCTGCAGACCCAGGGTGAGCCCCATGGCATTCTCCCCTCCCCCAGGAGCTGTTCTGCCCACGTATCTGCAGAGACAGAGCCCCCAGGGCTGGTACTTAGGTCCTTCTGGCTTGGTCTGGTTTCAGGGCTTCCAGCTGCTAAAGGCTGCCCACACTGCACTGGAGGAAGAATACCTGAAGGCCTGCAGGGAGCAGGCACCAGTCCAGCAGCCTGCCGGCTCCAGGGGAACGCCTGGGAAATTTGATCCTGGCAGGTAGGGCAGCGGAGGGGAGGCCCAGAGAGTAAATGGGGCCAGCCTGTCGGCCATGCTTTGTTTTCCTAATTCATACTCCAGGGCCAGGGAGAAATCCTGTCCCAGTTAACATGTCCAAGGGCAGGAATCCTTTTGCGCCCTCCGCAATGAGACGTGACCTTGGAGAATAGGGAAACTAAGGCAGAAGGCAAAGGGATTAACTCAGGTACAGAGCCTATTAGCGGCAGGGGCTTCTGGGGGACCAGGGCTCAGGTCTCCTGATCACCAGTGGAGACCACTTTCACCTTGCTTATTCCAAGTTCTCACATAATCTACACGATGATGTCCACGGGCTACCCCAGTGGACGTTCTCGGGGCCCCTTCTGCAAAAACACGGCCTCCCCAACTGACCTCATGTGACTGCCACCCCAAGCGCTTGGTGCTGATGTTTCCCCATTGCAGGGAGCTGGAGGCAGAGATATTCCAGCTGGGGATTCGTCTGGAAGAGCTGAAGGACCACATGGACCAGAACCAGCAGGCCCCCGAGGGAGCCGGATCAGACTTGCCTCGGGGGAGCCCCCCAGCCACCCCCCGCCCCTGCCAGCCAAGGTGCCTGCCCTCTCCTTCGGGACACGGCCCCACGCCAGTCTCCCAGACCCTCTGCTCTGAGGTACCTCTCTGCCTGCCATGTTGGTCTGCTTTCTTCTGTCGTTTCTCCACTTGCTGGTTTCTTTACATTATAGTTATGAAGCGTGTCTCACGACAGGAGATGGGGATTCAATGGGAAACAACAAAATAGGCGACTTATGCCCTCATGGAGTTTTCTGTCTAGTCGAACAAGTTATTATAAGATTTATAATTTTGCTCAGTGCTCTGGAGGAGAATTATGGGGTTCTGAGAAGAGAATTGAGTTGAGGGGGTCAGAGAAACTTTCCCTGGGGAAGTAATGTTTTAGGAGTTATTCAGTATAGAGGGGGAAAGCCGTCCAGGAGGAAAGTCAGCCAGTGCAAAGGCCCTGTGGCTGGAATATGGAACAAGGGGCGCAGTTGTCTGAGAGAAGTGACTGCAGATGCAGCCAGGAACCCCACGGCGCAGGGGCTTGTGGGCACATCACGGCCTTGGTCTTAGACTCGAGGGGGATTTGTGGGGGTGCAGACGGGCCAGCTAGAGTCAGAGAAGTAGCCACAGAAGCACTTGTGGACTTGAGCAGTGTGGTAGGTACCTTTGACTGGCACAGGGTGGTGAGAAGGGAAGGGCCAGAGTGACTTCAGGCTTCTCACTTTACTTCTGGATCTGGGGACTGCCACAAAAATGGGTGACACTAGCCAAAGGCCACACGTGAAAGGGACTTCGTGGCATTCCGCAGCCCACATCACAGCCCAAGGAGAGAGGATGACTAGATGTGGTTTGTAGTTGAGCAAACTGAGTGTGAAGCGGTGATGCAGGCAGCCCGGCGGAGTGTCTCATCCCACAAACCCCTCACTGCCTAAGGGGCACCCTTGACTTCTTGGGGTTTGGAACAGGAAAGGGGGAAGCCTGTTGGGTGGGGCAGGGCTGGTGGAGGTCTGGACACTAAGTCCATGACCCCTCAGGTCTTGGGGGTCATTCCCTCACATGCTCTGGCTGAGGATAGGAAAACTACTCACACTACCTCAGACAAATAGGCACCCAGTGTGTCGTCTTGAGGGGCTCCTATTCTAACACAGTGAAGGTATTGGGGGGCTTGAGCATTCTTACTGCAGTGGAGAGGAGTCAGGAGGTGCTTCTGACTGGATATCTGGGTTCAGTCTCAAGTCTGGGCCTGGGTTCTGTGTGACTATCATTCGCACCACAGTTTCCTGTCTCAAACACTGGGTTAACTGGCTGGTGGGCTTGTGAGGTGAGCTCTGCAGTGCCTGGCACATAGGAGGTGCTAGGTCATGGCAGCCAGCACGGTCACCTATTTGAGTGATGGGAATATAGTCTTGAGAAATGTGTTAGACAACTGTGTGAACGCCTTAGAGTCCTTGCTCAGACCCAGATGATGGAGCCTCCCGTGTGCTGAGGCTGGAAAGTACCGTCCACTGGGACAGCCATTGTGTGTGGGGTTGGTGCGGCCTGTCCTTGGCCGACATGTTGCTAAGGGTGCGTATGGCCCTTCAGTCCATCCAGCCCGACATAGTACACACACATGAAACGGGGGTGGAGTTCGGCCTGGTGGAGTTCGGGGCTCTGAGCTGTTTCTTACTCTTCAGCCCCCAGCATGAGCCTGGCATGAAGCACGTGCTTTAAAAATGGTGTTTAGGTATCTGCTGAATGTCTGTCTCCCGCCTTTCTGGCCCCCAGCCCCACACCACCCGCGCAGACCCCTGCCCGCCACCCATGAACCAGGAGCTGAGCTCTGCCAGCAGTGAGGCGGACAGACCGCTGGACCTGCCGGCCCCCCTCAGACGCAAGGAGCTGCAGATGGAGCAAGGTTTCCATGGCCTCCTGGAGCGGTGGGTGTCCCCAGCAGTGAGGCCAGGGTGCTGGCTGCCCCATGGGCCGAGGTCACAGCCTGTGTTTGCTCCTCTGCAGGTACCTCAGTGTGAAGTCCCTTCCAGAAGCCATGAGGATGGAGGAAGAGGATGACGAGGAGGAGGGGGAGGAGGAGGAGGAGGAGGAAGGGGAGGAACAGGGCTGTCCCGAGGAAGTGGATGGCGCAGCTCCCACTCCAACGGAAGCAGAGGCCAGTGGACTCCCTGTGGTGCAGGCTGAGCGAGGTCACAGGCCCCGTCTTGAGTATGTCACTGAGGCCCCCTGCCCCGTCCCACCCCACCTCCAGAATCGCAGGTATGCTGGTGGTTTGGAAATGGCTCTCTTGCACCTTAGCTCAGCATGAAGCTACGCCCGAGACAGCGGCTTCGGGGGTGCGGGGTGTGGTTTCCAGCAGGACAGGGCAGCACTGGGCACCGTCATTCTCCTTTTCCGTCTCAGACCTTCTAAGAACTCGAGGCGAGAGTCTCAGTGCTCTTGTGTTTTGAACGCCATCTCCATAAACTTTGCTCTACTCAGAAGACTTAACGTCACTATTATTAGCGGCCCAGCATGACATGTCCAGATAGAAATGAGCTTAGAAAATAAGCAGGAAAACTAGAGCATGAATTCACTGAGGGCAGACGCCGTTGGTGGGCCCTGTAACCAGAAACAATCCATGTCAAATACAGTGTTTTCCTTTTATTTTTCAGAGTTAGCCTTTATTTATAGGAGTGTCTGTCTTTTTTTTTTCCCTTTTTTCAGTAGAGGGAGTTTATTATGGAAATAGCTGAAGTAGGGAAGATGTTATTGCAAATTTCCAAAACAGTTGTTGCTGTACTGTTTCCATCGTGGTGATTGGGTGGGTTTTTTGGTACCGCAGCCTGGAGCTGAGGAAGGTGACACTCAGAGAGGGGAGGTGCTTTGCCCTGGGTCCCACAGCTAGAAGGAAGCAGGACCAGGGTGGCACCCAGGGAGGTCTGTGGTGCCCTACACTGCTCACCTCCCAGGTCTGGGCTGCTTGGCCTGTGCCAGGGCTCAAGGTTGCCATGCTTCTCCTTCCCTGCCAGGGAGACCATGGAGCAGATGGTATCTGTGAACCCACCGGGCTTTCATGCATCCAGGACCCGAGATCGGCACCCGTCAGGCCTGGGCAAGGTGGAGGCCGCCCCCGCAAGCCCTGGCCGGCTTCCCCAGCCTCAGGACATCAAGTCCTCGGGGTCGCACAAGAGCAGCCTCACCAGCCTGGAGGGAAGTGGCCTGTCCGAGCACCTTCCACAGAAGCCCCTGCACCGCGCTGGTGAGCCCCACCTGGAGGTAAGTGCCTACCGGAGGCTGGGGCTGGGCTGGCAGGCAACTCCAGCTCGTGCCTTCTGCCCCCGGACCTTTGCTCCTGCCCCTCTGCCCACACACCTACTCCCATCCCTGCCAGTCACACCCCTGCTCGACCCTCAGGGCTTTTGCCCAGGGTCCCCCCTCGGCGGTAACTCTCCCCCAACTCCCCGGCGCCTGCCGGAGCTCTGCTCCCCGCTCTGAGTAACAGCTGCCTGTGTTTCTGGAGCTGCTCGGGCCTTGCTGTGGTCTCCAGGCCCTGGGTGCTCTTACAGCAGTCGTTTGTCAATGGATGCAGCGCAAACTAGTCACTGTGGAAACATGACGTGCCAGGCAGTCTTCCGTAGAACATGTATGTGTCCACACGCACCCACATTCACACACAGCCCCTCTCTAGTCCTCATGGCCATGGTAATGTGATGGGCAATGCAGTGGGCTGTGAAGTCCCGAGAGCAGGCTCCTCCTTGGCTAACTCTAGACTCCTGCTGTCGGAGGTGCGTGCATGGACTTTTTTTTCCCCACTCACTGGGCCTGGCATTTCTGCCATCAGATAGGACCGTGAGCTCCCAGCCCCCGGCCAGAAAACACGTGGACGTGAGAATCCTGGTCCTGTGACAGGCATGCTTCCTCCCACCCCTTGTGTCCAGGGCTCAGGAAGGCGGTCTTTCTTCCAAGGACCCTGCCTCCCCGCCTCACAGGATGTGCCGGGGTGACCCCCCCCAGGGTGACCCCTACCCCACCAAGGACCTGTCTGAGCCTGAGGGCCGCACCCTGGCCTGGCTGTTGGGAGCTGGCCAGACTCCATCTGTGAGCCTGCGGAATGTGGGGCCCAGGCCAGGATGCCATGGGCCACTCAGTGTGCCCTGGACACATTCCTCGGACTTAAAGGGACACTGTCTCTTTTCAGGAGGCCTGGATGGCATCCCCTGAGACGGACAGCGGCTTTGTGGGCTCAGAAACCAGCAGAGTGTCACCCCTCACCCAGACTCCAGAGCACCGGCTCTCCCACATCAGGTACCCCGGGGACCCCCCACTGTTAGTCTGCAGTATCTCACACCCGCTATAGCCAGGTGATTGAAGTGCTGTGAGCCCCAGAGTGGGGATGATAGTCTGGCCACCTTCAGAGACCTCACTTCATCTCCTCAACCATGGTTCCTCACCCCCTTGTTACTGATGGAGGGGGGAGGAGGCTCAGAGAGGGCAAGCAACTTGCCCAGTGTCACCCAGCCAATTAACAGACTAAGAAATAAATACTTGGTCAAACAAACAGGTGTGTGGTGACTGGGTAAGAACTGATGACTAGGATAGCTGAGCAGCTAAGTGAGGGGGACTAGGCTGGAACCCGAGGGGGGTAAGGCACACAGGAGGAAAAGGAGACAGCCACCAAGTGGAGCGGTGACCTCCAGAGCTGGTGTACGCCCCTCGGGAGGCCCATGTCCCAACGCAGGGTGCCCGGTAGGAACGGGTAGAAATTCTATTTCTCTTTAGAGGCCTTAAAAACAGACTTGAACTTTATTGTTTTGTGGCCAAGGGTGGTCAGGCACACTGCTGTGCAGTTTAAGAAATGCAGGTGGAGTGGGGTGCATCCTGAGAAGTAGCATGCACACAGGGGTGCAATGTCAAAAAGGTCAGGAGCTTAGGCTTTTGTGCAGAGGGACTCAGAGGCACAGCTCCCCCCCCCCCACCATGTGTCTTTCCATGCTTGGTACCCCAGCACCCCAGGGATCCAGCCCTTCACAGATTCTGTGCCCCGTGAAAGAGCCTCGCATCCCCAGACCAGGGGCCTTCGGGTCCCCAGAAGAGCCTCTGAGCCCAGCACTCCCAGAGGCCGAGCCCCGAGGCATCTCTCCGGCCAGGCCAGTCCTCTCCAGCGGAGGACACCCAGCTTCCACCTAGAGCCGATGCTAGCTCCAGAGACGGGTGAGTGGATACTTCTGGGGTGGCCACGCCTTAGGTGACTGATTGCATGGGTTAAAAAAAAGAGAAACCAGGCCCTCCCTGGTAGTGCAGTGCTTTAGCCCGCTGCGCCAAGAAGCTTAAGCCACTTCCACATGAGTTCGATCCCCGCCTGCCCCAGAGGTGACCACATGGCCCAGCAGACCTCTCCTGACCCGCCCGCTGCTCCCCTCAGCAGTGTACTTCGTCGATCTGCCTGTTCTACTCCCCACTCTGTCTCTGGCGAATCCTGTCACCCTCCGCATCTCTGCATCTCTGTATGAATAAATAAATAAATCTTTAAAAAAAAAAAGAAACCATAGAAAGACTGTTATCCTTTAAATATAAGATACTCTAAGGCTGATTATAGGAAAATTGGAAGTTAAAAAGTCAGCCAAAGGGAACAAAAAAATACCCTAGAAATGATTATATTGGCCTTCTGGTGTGATACCTGTGAGCTGTTTCCGGTCCAGTCACGTATCCTTAGAGCAGAAATGCAGTTTCAGAGGGAGGAGAGGCGAGTTGGGCCCAGGACAGATGAGTGAGACACACGGGAGTCGAGAAGCGAGGGAGGGGTAATAAGCAGTGAGCTCTCAGGGCGGGGTGTTGGGTCTGATGCCAGGAGGAGGGCAATGGAACAGCTTTTGCACCCTAAGCTCCCAGTAAAATCCACTTCTGGTTTTGCGGTCACAGTAGGTCCTTGACCTCACCTGCAGCTTTGCGACCTCACTGTCCAGAGTTACGCATTGAGGGTATTTCTTTCTGTAACCTCACTTTGCTCTTTCTGCTCTTTCCCTAGCTGTTGAGAGGCAAAAACGGACTTCTGAACAGCCAGCACGACACCCCGCCAGCACAGCAATCAACCCGCCCCCCACCTTGACCACGGCCAGTCCACCCCATGTGGCCCCGCCCCGTGGAGCTGCAGAGACCACCCCTGGCTCCCTGTTCACCAGATCAGGGCGAGAGTAAGTCGCACACGTGGGTTCTGTGGAGTCCAGGGCATCCCAGGTGGGTGGCAGGGCCGAGCGAGGCAGGGCCTGTTGGCGCTCACGTCTGGTGGTGGCACCAGACCAACCCGGGCATCTTGCCGCCCAGCTCAGGGCTGCCTCCTAGGGGCCTCATTGAGCTGACTCAGAGAACACTTTTCCAGTGGTGGGAAATGACCTATAGGTTCACCTCTGCCTGCGTGTCCCTTCCAAGACAGGGCTGGCAGATGTGGAAATAGGGGCATGTTTTCTGCAATTTATGCATTCATTGCATGGATTGGGTTTTTTCAAATCTGTTCTTTTGAATCCAAGGGTAGTTTCTCCTAAGAAAGTGACTCCTTGGTTGAACACAAATGGCCAACTGGGCTGCTTGGTCCCCTCTTGCTTCTTCTGAGGGGCTTGTGGCCAGTAATCAATCAGATGCCTTTACAGGGTTGGGGTGTCTGTCCCGAATGCATAAGACTGTTTACAGTCACCAGCCCGGGCCTCCTGAGTGTGTTGCAGTTGTGAGGGTGTCTGTCGTGTCTTCTCTGAGCAGAGTTGGGTTGCCCTTCTTGTGTTGGGCACCCAAGGCTGAGTTGAATATGCACTGCAGTCCCCTGAGACTGCCTGTGGTACCCAGGCCCTGGGAATACTCTGGGGGCCTTGTAAGGGCCACTACCTTGTAAGTGGGACAGAACAACAGGTGATCATACCCAGTGTGACAAACACAGTGGCAAAGCCCGAAGGACTGTGGAAACACAGAGGTTTCAGGGAGGACTCCCTGGAGGAAGTGGCATCTCCAGCAGAGAGAACAGCAGGTATGCAGGTGTAGAGCGAGTGTCCACCATGGGTTAGGAGCCAAGTGTTCGTTCCTGCTGGATACATGTGAGGCGTGGGTGCTGGACAATAAAGGGAGAGACCTGGGGAGATCTTGAAGGGCCTTGAACTCTGTGTTCAGAGATCTGGCTGGTGGCGGGCCTCAAAGGTGATCACTGAACATTTATGAAAGCGTGAAGACTCCCCCGAGGACAGTGACAGGGGGCGGTATGACCAGGTTTGTGTTCTATAAAGTTCTCTGGCCGCTGGGAGGGGAGAATGCATGCCCAGAGCAGATGCATTTGAGAAAGGGTACTTGGGCTTTGGGCCCTCAAGACTTTGAGTTCATTGATGTTAGGGGGCTGTTCATGGAAGTTTCCTTCTCAATTTCTGGTTGGCTAGCCAGGCAGATGCCAATGGGAAATCCACAAAGGAGGTGGTGCTATGTTTGTAGGGAGAGACGGATTGTAAGTCCCAGCTGGCACCGAAGAATTAGCTCTTGACAGAAACAACCAGGAGCAGCAAGTGCCTCCCCAGTGGCTATTCCAAGCCTTGGGCCCTTTTTAGTGGTCGCTGGCCAGGGACAAGAAGCCCCCTGTCCCACATGCAGCACCAAGCTAGTGCCTGGCCCTGCGGGGGTTAACTGGTGAGAGTGCCCAGCCTCTCCCGATCCTCCACCCTCAAGTTTGCCTTGGAAACCCAACAAGCGTCTCCCTGGGGATTGCCAAGGGAACCCGTTGCCCTCAGACGCACAGTGCACACCACGCTGGGGTTTGGCCAGAGAGAGGGCGCCTGCTCCCTCTGACTCATTCACCTGAGCACCGCAGGTGCCAGGAGACAGCCTCCCACAAGCCCAGGGCTACCAGGCAAGAACCAACCCCGAGAGGAGCCCTTCCCCGGAAGGACTAGCGGCACAGCCTGCATCAGCTCAGAGGACCGCCATGCCAAGCCCAGACTCTGGCACCCCGTGGGTAGGGGTTGGCGGGGAGGGTGCTGTGGGCAGGGCTGTCTGCCTCCCTCCCACACCCCCATCAGTCACGCCTCAGGAGGAGATGGCTGGAGGTGCACTGAGTAGTCAGGAAGAAATGCAGGCCGTGTCTGCTCCCTGCATGCTGGTGGCACATTGACACGCCTTGTGCATCAAGGTGGCTGAGGTTGGGGACCCTGGGATTAGGGCAGTAGTGCCCCATGTCTTGTCTTCCCACCCACACAGTGTAGGGCCAGGACTGCAGTGTCTCCTCGTCCGCGCTCCATGCCTACCCCATCCTGCTCCTTCCTGGAGCCATGAGTCCAGCTCAGTAGGGTGCAGAGCTCTCAGAGGGCAAGGTCTTGAGGCGTGAACGGGAGGTCTGTGCCTTGCATGCCTGTGGCTCACTGTCCGGGTGGGAGATGCTGTCAGGAGCAGAGGTGTGGACATGAACAAGGATGGCGGTACTCGGGGAAGGCTGAGGAAGGTAGGGAAGGGGCTGAACTGATGGAGTTTTCTGCAGACTGAGGCAGGGGGGCACCGGGGAGGGTAGCCTGGGGCTAAAAATTCCAGCTTTACTATGGCGATGGCACACGGGTGATTTGGTGCTGGGAAGCCCGCGGGGATTACAACTGAGATGGAAAAAGGCACAAAATGATGTAAAAATAAATGATTATTTAAAAAAATCCCAACTTTAAAGCAGAATAGCCCATGCACGTTATTTTGCACCCTCATCTCTAGCTTGAGAATGTGTCACGGGTGTTTCAGGAAAGCTGCTCAGAGGCCCTGTGTTCGGATGGGAAAGTCTCAGGAAAGTTTGCTTTGCTCACTGTGCAAGTGCATAACTCAGAGGTGACGAAGATGCCCTGAGAGAAGTGGACATACAGGGCATTCCAGAATTGGGTAACAGCCGCTGGGGCCTGTGCCTGCTGGAACGGGGCTCAGGCGGCTGCTTCAGATACCCCTGGGGAGCGGCCACCATCCGATTTATCGGCATCTGTGCTTGGTTCCCGTCTCCACCCCCACCACAGCCAGGCCATCCGGGAACTGCAAGAAGAGGTGTCTCGGCTCCGTCTGCGGCTGGAGGACAGTCTGCATCATTCACCCCAAAGCAGCCTGACGCGCCCAGTCTCCACCTTTGACCGCCCCACCAGGGCCCGGGACCGGCCAGCGGATCCCTCAGCTGCCTGGAGCACCCACTATGGCAGGTGCGTGACCCCAAGGTTCCCTCCCACGTGTCCCGGTAGTCACACAGGGGGTAGACTCGGTGGCCCCCTGAGCTGGGCACTGCCACATCTATGCTCTAACTTCAGTGGTTCATTCTTAACTATTTCTTTACTGTATAATCCTTGATGACCCAGTGGCTATATCAGACACTGGTGCAGTGAAGCCTGGTCCAGCAAGTGTCCCAGGTCTGGCCACCCTCTGAAGAGCTGGGACCTTTCAGGATGCTCACTGTCTCCCATTCACTGTCATTATGCACGGGATTGCACGAGGTCAGCAAACTTCTGGAGATAGTTAGCTAAGCATTTTATGGAAAACCCTCTGAGTAGTGGCTGATGTCTTCACTTAACAGACAAGGAAGCCGAGGATCAGAGAGGCTCCGCGTCTGGACTCCCAAGTCCAGAGTCTGCGTTTTTGACGCCCATGGCCCCCCCACCCTGCTTTATGCGATGAGCTTCACTCCAGCTGGCCGACTCGTTATCACCCTTAAAGTTCCCAGGGAAGCCGCTTGCAGTAACTCTTCTTTCTCTCTCGCTAGTAAGTCCTCAGAGAGGTTGTCTGGCGAGCCTGGAGGTGCAGAGCAAGCCGCTCCCCCACGAAGGCGACAAGCCAGGCCTTCCTCGGTGCCTCGGGACGTGCCCCGACACTCTCTGAGTAAGTGCCTGCCAGGGCTGCTTTCCGGAGGCCCCTCCTGGGTCTGGGGCCATAGGAACAGCCTTGGCGGAGACGTGGGGAGGCTGTTTGCATCTGTTTATGTGGCTGTAGGGCTCTGAAGCCCTGCGCCCTGCCAGTAACAGCCTCTCTGCGGCTTTTATATGACCATCACCTGCTTTTGTCTTCACTGCATGGGGTGGGTGGGGGTCACGTGATGCACCCTCTGCAGTTAGACCCCAAAGCCCGCAGCGCAGGGACTTGGCTGAAGAACACAGCTTGGAGTTAGTAGCGGGTTCAGCCAGCTTCTCTCTCCCCTGGCTGTGTGACCTCGGCAAGGTTGCTTCCCTGCTCTGTGCAGCTCGTGACACCTAGCAGCCAATAGTCACACTGCCTCCTCCTGGGGTTGTCAGGTTGTGAGGGTGCATGGCGTGGCTTGCTCACAGGGCCAGACCAGGCTGGCCCCTCTGGGCTCTGGATGGGTCAGCTGCTGTGACTGCGGGGCAGGCCTGGGATTCCCCAAGCGTCTCCCAGAGCCTGCACTTGCGACATGCGGTCACTCAGCTGTGTGATACCCCCGGGAGCCCCAATGATGCCCCCTGTGATGCCCATTTCCATCCCAGGTTCTGAATCCGAGCCAGCCTGCCCCCGGCTATTCTCTGAGAAGAGCAGAACCGCCGAGGACAGCCCACAGGCAACTTGGGGCAGAAAAAGAGGCAGCGTGGGACGGCCGGACAGGGTCACCTTCCGGGGCCAGTACACAGGTGGGGAGAGGGAAGAGCAGTGGGGTGGCCTTTTCTATTAGCTCCTGGACCGTTCAAACATCATCCTTTCCTCTGTATTGTGATACAAAAGACGGCAGAAGCTTCCATGCTCCCACGGACTCAGCCATGGGGCCTCCGCGCATTCACTCATCAAACACACATTCGGCAAACAGCTTCTATTACCTGCACATCCGGGCCCACGCGCGGTACTTAGCTCATTCAGCTGGTCAGTTATAGGAAGTCAAAGAAGCACCTGCTGTCGGCAGGACCTGGGCAGTGTGGAATCGGGTCACTTTTGCCTGGCCACCCTTCAGGTCTGATTCCTCAGGGGGGCCCCCTGTGTCTTATGAACAGGGCACCCAGCACACAGGAAGGCTTGAAATGATACACAGGATTTCAAAGTGCTGAAAGGCTGCTGACAGCACAGCAAAGAAGGCCGTTAACAAACAAGCAAGTACAGTGTGTACGTGATCAGAGTAGTGGCTCACAGGCGTGGCTCCCAACCATACCTCCCTGGGAGCGAGGGCGGTTAACCTCATGGGCCTATGGCCGAGTGCTGGGGACAAGGCAGGAGGCCAGAGACACGTTGGTCATGCTGGAGTCTGCAGGGCCAAGGGGCAAAGGCGAGAGCAGCCAGGCTGGGGGCCCATGCAAAAGCTGGGTATCAGGTGGGAGCCCTGCACCCTCAACAAGAGGAAAGGTCATTATCAGGCTACATTCTGAAGGTCTTATTGACGCATTTGCCAAAGTAACCGCTGCACTCAACCCACCCTATGAGGGCCTTATCTGAGACTCGGGGAAGCACAAGGCAGGATGGTAGGCGGGGTGAGGGCCCCTCTGTCCAAATGTCTGAAGCATGAGTACCTGCGGGCACTGGGCAGAAGGAGCAGGATGGGTGCCACGCAGTCCTCCCCCTGACAGGCCCACCCAGAGACGGGGAGAAACGCCAGAAGACCCAGCCGCCCCGACTCCACCAGCAAGTCAGGCTGGGGGCAGCATCGAGCTTATTCATTGGTTCTAGGTCTCCCGGGTCGTCCTTCAAATCCTGAGCGTGAATCTGTTGATTGCTTGTGAGTGTCAGAAACTAGGCAGCTGGCAACTGTAAATAGGATCTGAGTCGACACAGGCGTGAGAGCATTTGGAAGACCAGTAAATGGGTTCATGTGTGGACGTGTTGTACACCTGTGTGCGTTTGTGCACATTTGACATTTGTGTGTACTTGCACAAGGGCGAGTACGTGCATGTGTGGGAGAATGAATGACTCCTGGAACCCTCTGGAGAAGAGGAGAGCACATTTTCTAAAACTCCCGCTCGGTATCTGCACGGGGGCTGATGCCACCTCTTCTGGTTTCCGCCACAGGCCAGGAGTACCATGTTCTGACCCCCAAAACTGTCCCGAGAGGCAGTGGCCCCGTCTCCTGTCCCAACTGCCAACCTGTTACTACCCAGGACACAGGTAAAGGGGTACCCGGAGAGGGAGTCACTGCTCTCAGGGAGGGTTCGGATAGGACAGACGGGGGACTGCCCTGAGCTCAAAGGTGGGCAGAGATACAGACGCATCACACATGTGGCTCCTGTGATGTTGCCTGAAGCCATAGATGGGATTCAAGAAGTTCCTGAAGTATCCTGACAGGGGTCTGGGCCGCAGGGGGCTATAGTGGTGCTTGTGTCTCAGCTCTCCTCCATCCTCCCTCACCACCTCCTTCCCCCAAGCCAACAAGGAAGAGTAGTGAAGAGCAGTGGCCTGAGACTAGGAACACCATGTGCTAGTCTGGGTTCTGCTGTGTGACCTCAGGCAAGTTCCTTAACTTCTCTGAGCCTGAGATGCCACATTCACGGTGGAAGGTTTACAGGTTGTGGGGGTGGGGGGAGAGTCTGAGGCCCTTTCAAGCAGCAATGATGGAACCATCATTTATTAAGCCCCTGCTGTATAGAGAGCATCTTGCTAATATCCCTGTGTCATTCTGCCTCAGCTTGAGTCCCAACGTCCATCCACTTAGCCAGCCAGCCAGGACTTTCCCATACTGGGCCTTCCCGAAGGACCTTTCAGCTAAATAGGGACACAGCACAATGGCCCGGGTGAGGCAAGAAACAGATGGACTGGCAGCACCCAACTCAGCCGAGGGCAAGGAGGGCTGGTAGGAGGGCTTCTGGGGGCAGTGGTGGCTGGGCAGAGGCCCAAAGGAGCAGGCTAGCCCTGAAACTCACTCAGATGTGGGCTGGCAATCAGTGCAAGACGCCGGGCCGCCTCCTGCTTCCCGAGGCTCTGGGGGCACCTGGTGCCCAGAGAAGGGGCTACTCTACCTGTGGAGGAATGGCCAGCCAGAGGGCTGCAGTGGCCCAGCTCTGAGACCCAAGAAACCTCTCCACCTCCTGGAGCCTCAAGTTGTCCTGCCTGGGGGCTCCAGAGATCTGACAGTTCTCTTTGGACATTTCTTCTCTTCCAGGTGGTGCTGCCACCAGGGAGCCCCTGGGAGCAACTGCCACCGATACAGGGCCATGTCCTCTCTGTGGGTCCCCCTCGGAGACAGCCAGCCCGGACTCAGCCACCTCTGGTAGGGACAGCTCGGTTCATCCTCAGCTCTCCTGGAATGTGGGTTTCACGGGTTGGGCAGGTGAAACCAACCTGAATGAAGCCAACGGGGCAATCTCTTAGCAAGACCCTCCCCACGTGGCCGGCGTGCTCAGCTCTAGCAGGCGGCGGGAGGGGCTCCTGTTCTCAGCTACATCTTCCCAGGTGGTCACTGTTTTCCCTTCCTGACAGGGCCAGAAAAGGCCTCCACGAGGAAAAACGCATCTTCAACGTCCAGCCCCAAGCAGAAGAACAAGAGGGCGGGGTCCCCATCCCGGCCACCCCCTGGACTGTGGTATCTGGCAGCTGCACCCGCAGGACCAGTCCCTCCGGCCTTTGCCTACGTCTCCTCAGTTCCCGTCATGCCTTACCCATCAGCCGCTGTGTAAGAACCTCAGTTCTGGCCCTCCCAGCCTCTCCACCTTAATCGTTTAACAATGAGCATTCAGACCTGGGCCAGGCAGCAGAGAGACCAGGTGCTGTGTATTCTTTTCCTGTTGTGAATAGTTGCAGTTCAAACTGACACTCGTGCAGTCATTCAACAAACCCTGAATGTTCCCAAGGTGTCAGGGAGCGTGCTCTGCCCAGCTGTGAAGTAGTTTGGCAGTGGCCTGCTCTCTGGGAGCTGATAGGCTCAGGAGATCTAGATTCCTGACCATCGCCCATTCAATGGAGGTCTTCTAGAGTCCAGGCAGGTGGTTAAGGAAACTTCCTCTCTAGCAAGGTTGGAGCTGCCCGTGCACACTCGGGCATCTCAGAGGTGGGTGGACACTCCTGCCTCTGCTCCTCTCAGGAACTCAGTGGCCCAGGATAAAGCTGAGTGTCCACACTGGGCATGGGGCTGTTTTACTTCTGAGGTTATTCTCCATCTCTGAGCTCACAGCTAGACCGAATTCACATACTGCTGTCTCCAGCAGTGGCTACGGGGCAGGGGCAGGGTCAAGCCCTGGCCAGTGGCAGCCCTGAAGCCTTGGGGAGGTCACCAGCTTCCTGTGCACCCCTCTTTCCCTCTGGGAAATGGGTTATGGTTAAGGATGAAGAGAACAATGCATGGAAAGCCCCCAGTACATGGAGGTAGCCAGGAATCCACTGCTAATGCTGGCTTTGATTGGGACACAGTGCCTGAAGTTGACCAGCTGCCCAGCGATACCCACTGAGCATGCTCAGTAGCCCAGGCCTGGCTCCAAAGCTGTCGGACCCGTGCTGCCACCTGCTGGCCATGTGTCTTCACGCACCTACTCCAGAGGCTTTCCAGCAAGGAGAGGGGTTCTGTAGCGTGGGGGACCGGCTGGTATCAAATTAACAAAAGGTGGGGGGAGTAGTTACTCGAGTTGAGGTCCCGGCTGGGAAGGACACCCTTCTGCCTGCTGCTGCCCTGAGCGCAGCCGGCCTTTCCTGTCCTGCAGAATCTCGTTATGCTTCTCCAGGGCGCCCCTGGGCAAATGGGGCCCCATATATTGCGCCAGAGGCAGGGGGTTTGCTGTGGAGCCTGGGGTGACCCTGGCCGCCAGCAGGTCTGGCTTTCAGGTTAGTGGCACCCAAGAAACAGTGGGGTGCATACTTGTTTGGCAGTCACGGTAACGCCAGAGCTCATGTCTCTGATGGGCACCTGCCCTTGGTTAATCTTCAATAAGCTGATTGATCGAGCGGCCATGGAAAGCACCTGTGTGGGTCAGGGACTCCATGGCGTTCCTGCTCCCCACTCTAGAGGAAAAGGAGCGGAGACCAGAGTAGGGGCCAGGCCCAGGGGCAGCTCCCAAGCGAAGCCCCTGGCTTATCCAGCCTCTCCGGTGACGGCTGTGCTTGCTTCCCTCCGCAGGTACTTTGTGCCTCCAGGATCTACCTCAGCCCCTTCAGCCCAGCCGGCAGCAGAGTGGCCCCTCACAACCTCCTCTCGGCCATCCAGGGGCCACCGACGTTCCATCCAGCTGGACCTGGACGACCTGAAGGAGCTCAACAAGGCCCTGAGCCAGGCCGTGCAGGCTGCCGAGAGCGTCCGCTCCACCACCCACAAGATGAGCCGCTCCCTGTCAGCCGACCTGCGGCATGCCCGCGGCCTGCGGGGCTCCTGCCTCTTCTGATGCCCCCAAGGTTCAGTGGGCAACCTCAGGTGGTGGGCAGGAGCCCCGGTGCTGGGCAGGCGGGCCCCTCGCTGCTGCCCCCCAAGCGGGAGCTGGCCAGAGCCTCTCCTGTGCCCTCACAGCCCCTCTAGAGGAGGGAGGGAGAGTCCACCCCAAGCCCTGCCTGCTTGGCCCCCGTTTTCAAAATGGAGGTACACTTTAGGCATCAAGAAAAGTAACTTCCCACGGAGTGGACCCTGGAGGGTTTCCGGGATCGAGCCACCTACTTTTCTGACGGAACATCGGGAGTCTCTTCTGGTTCTCTTGCACTGGCCCAATAATGTTTTATATGCAGATGGACAATTTTTTTCAATTGAGCTTTCCTGGTCCTGTGTCCTCCAGAGGAGGCCAGATAAGGAAAAGGCCCAGGCCTCAGCGCAACCCTAACACCCCAGCCTCTGACCAGCCACTCCAGACTGCGTCTCCGGAGTGGGAACTTTCTCCTGGAGACCAGTGGGGAATCTGGCCCCAGGATGACATGCTCCCAGCTTCTCCATGGTGGGAGAGGCCTGTCCCTGTCTGCTGGGATACAGACACCCACAGTCCCTCCCGGTACTTCGTCCTGAGCCCCCAGCCCTAGCCTGGGACCCCTGTGAAATCTTGCTTGGCCAGCCACCGCCCTCCTTCCATGGCCATCAGGCGGCCTCTTCCCTGCTCCCCCACACCCTAGCAGCACGGACCTCAGCATTTTCTAGAATGTGTGTGTATCAGTGATGTTTGTATATTTGAAGCATTTAAGATTCTATTTTCGTTATGAGGGCAAATGAAAAGTGAGTATTGATTTTAAAATAAAGAAAAGGCTGCAAAAATCATCACCAAAGCCTCCCGCACCTGTTGTGAGTCGTAGACTGCTGGCTTCTAAATGGTCTGTGAGACGGAAGGTGGGTGCTGAGCCAAGCCCTCCCGCGGGAAGCTGTGGGGCACTTTTCCAGCCCCCGCTTGACCCCTCTTCTCGCCAACACCCCCCACCCCTCTGCCTTTTCAAGAATGGAGACCCTGGCAGATCCCCTGGGCTGAGACCAGCAAGTGGCATTTGCAACCTGCAAGCCTGACTCTCCAGTGCAAACAGCCGCCTTGACTGAGCAAGGACCGCCTGACGTGCACCCCACCACCTCTCCCAGCCCCCACGTGGGGTCTTATTGCAGGGAATGTTTCCAGAACCCCACAGCATCTCCCCAGCCCATCTTCTTCCCAGCTTCATTTTCCCGCCCTTAACCCCTATGAAGCTTTTTCTCCCCATCATTTTTCTTCAGTTCTAAATTGCATCAAGTTCTTTCTCCCCAGCTCTTCTTGCCACTTTTCCTTTAAAATCGGCCCTCACTTTTCCCCCTGCCCCCCAACCCCAGGATACTTTTCTCAGCTGCTGCTACTCAGAGTGGCCAAGGGTAGACTTTTGCGGCCACTGTGAGGCGGGGGCGGCCTGGCAGGTGCCGAGCCTTCCCTGGTGCAGCCCCTTCTCTGGGAGCGTCAGAGCGAGAGCTGAGCCTGGGACCCCGCACGGTCCCCAGCTTCAGAAAGAGACCCCGTGCCTTGGTGGGGTGCAACCGGCCCAGGATTTTTCTTGATTCAGACAGATGAAGAGAGGAGTTTGGAGCTGTGTATTCGACAGGCCCTTAGCACTGACGCAGAGAGGCAGAAGCACAGGCAGAGAGCAGACACTGAGCCCGAGTCTCCCCTTTTATCCCTCCTCTCTTGGCCCAGGTGTCCCTACTTACCTGTGTACACGCCCTGGGCGCGCTGGCTTCTAGGCCCCACCTGGGTGTCCGTGGCCACAGGTGCACGTGGCCCATGCGCATGCTCCAAGCCTGTTGCATTAACACGCTATCACGTGCAGGAACCAGAGAAGCAAACAGGCCGCAGGTGGCGGCTGTGGAGGCTGGAGGGAGGTGAAGAACAGCCCGAGTGCCTTGTATGCCTCACACCTGGGCAGAGCAGCCACCCCAGCTTTGAGCAAAGGGTGCTGGAGCTGGTGTGTGGGCCCGGCCCTTAGCGGGGAGACTCCCAGGGTGCTGGCGTGTGAGGCCCGGGGCTGGGTGCTGGTGTCAGGCATTGTCCTGTCGCTCCAGATGGCTTAGGCCGTTCACACATGAGGCTGCCGGGATCTCAGTTCCTTAATCTGGTTATCACCTCAGCGATGCTGTTTCCCTTACCCAGCTTTAAACTGGAAACCCCAGGTCTGGAAGGAGGCCCCACTCCTCGCCGAACCCGGCTTCCACCTCAGTTCTGTTTATGCCTCTCCCGGACCTGCCTCCCACATGGTTCAGCTCAAGGGCTCCATACCCAGTGGCAGGATGCCAGGTGGTTTCTCGGGGCCCTCCCCACCCCCAGGTCTCCTACCCTCCTTCCTGGCGGCCATCCTGAGAGCCCTTCAGAGACAGACGAGGCCCCATGTCCTCCCTATTTCCCCTGTGCCCTGTCCAGGCCCAGATGCCAGACATCGTCCAGGAGCTGCAGCAGCTCCTATGTGACATGCCTTCCCTACCTGCCAGACGGCCCAGGGGAGGCCCACAGGGGCTCCCTCATGGATGCCCAGGGCCTGGCTTCCCTGTCCCTCAGCTTCCTCAATCGAGGTCTGCTCAGTGCTCACTGCACGTGTACTCTTAGAACCTGCTTAAAGCAAGAGCAGTCAGCCAGCTCTAGGGAGTCCAGGCATGTTAGGGTTAAGGAGGGACCGCACAGGGCATGACCTCGGGAGGCTTAAGCAGCTTCTGAGATAGGGGAAGGATTTTTAAGAATCCTGGACAGAGGAGGTAAAAAGAGAAACTCAGTTGGGGTCATGGGCTCATCTGCCTGGAGGCATTTGGCCCCCTAGAGAAAGCCAAGCAGAGGGGGAGGATGGGATTTGAGAAGACAAAAAGGTTTGCACACCCCTAGACAGGAGCCCACAGGGGCTCCCCAGCCCCTCCAGGAGTCCCTGATTTCTTCCTTTAAATAAACTACTTTCTGAAAGCTGCTTGTTCTCTGCCTAACTCTCTAAAGTGTCTGTGAAATCCCTTCTTTGTCTGTGGGACAAGACCCCGTGGGGGTTCAGGGCTAAGTTAACAGTGTGCACCTGCGTCCCGAGTCTTGCCAGGCTGATTTCTTCTAAGACTTCGCACCCCAAAGGAAACCTCCTCCAGCTGGGTGCCCACAGCCCGATGTACCCTACAGCCCACCCGTGTGCTGGGCGCTTGAGCGTGGCTCTTCCCGCTTAGCCAGGGGCGAGCCCTTACCCCTTGACCCGCCAAGGCTCAGCTCAGGCGGCTTCATCACGAACAAGCAAACGAGTGAGTGGATGACACCTGCCTTTGCCACATGTAGACTTTACTGATACATCTGAGGGATGGAAGGATGGAACTGAGGGTCAAAGAGCGGTGCAAGGGGCTGGGCGTGAGCCCCCAAATTGCCTGGCATCCTAACCCAATGCTCCGCCTTCTTTGGCCCCCTCCTGCTCCTTCTTCCTCTCCTCCTCGTGCTGCTTCTCCAGCGGCCCACACAGATCCTAGAAGATACGGGGAGAAGGTAACACCATGGTAGGAGGTGGGGTCTGCTGGCAGGCGTGGGCCGAGCTCTGGACAGTCCATCCAGGCTGCAGCCCAGGCTCTGCTGCTCCCTTGCTGTGTGACCTTAAGTGAGTCACTCTCCCTCTCTGATCCTCAGCTTCTTCACCTCCACCATAAGGGCTCTGACCTTCAAGAATGGGTGGTATTCCCCGAGCACGTAAGTGCCAAGCCCTTTCTCCTTGCCTCTGACCTCTAACAAAGCCCCCCAATTATGAAGAAAATAACGGGGCATGGGGCAATCACGTGGCCTTTCCTGGGCTCCCAGTCAGTGGTGGACTGGCAGGCTTCAGGCCAGGAGACCAAACCAGTGCCTGGATCTAGAAACCTCTTCAAGGATCATGGGAACGAGATGATGGGTACCACAGTGGTCATGGGAGACCACCACAGGGGGAAACGGATGAAGGTGTTCTCATTTTCATAATCATGAAAGTAAGGGTGGCCAGTTGACCAGTGCTGAGATTTCAGAGTATTGCGTGGGATCAGAGCAAGGAAACCTTACCCAGGTTTAAAACCTTAACCCAGGTTTAAAGGAATGATTAAGGAGACTGTTACACTGAGCTCTCAGAGCAAAGGAGGAGGTGAGAGAGCTGGACTTGTCCAGTCCCTCCGCAGGGGTGCGAGAGCTGGGGGTGGCCAGTCCTCAGGGACACTCCCTGTGTGAGTCTCTTCCCCAGGCTCCTGCTGCGGCTCCCTGGCTGTGCTGCCCGCATTCCCCACCTGACCCCGCATCCTCCTGAGTCCCCAGACCTTTCCCTCTGTATTCTTGTCCACCCCCTTGAGCCTCTGCGAAGCTCCGTGTCCCTACAGCAAGGAGGGTGCCTCGGAGCAGGGCAGCAGCCTTGCAGGGCGGCCTTGGCCACCAGTGGTCCCTCTCTGGCCCAGGGGCTGCCCGTGGCGGGACTGCCTGTCCATCCTGTCTGTAGTCCTGGCGCTCACCTTCTCATCAGTGTGTATGATTTCCGACTTGTGCATACCCATGCACGCTATGGCTTCATGGAACTCATCCACCTGCTCCTGGCTCAACTGGGGCTTCTCAGCTGCAGGAAGGAGCAAGTGGCTTGTAGGGGAGCAGGGATGCTGGGGGTGGGGCAGGCCTGGAGCATTGGAGTTTTGGGACCCAATCCCAGGACTGTGATGGGGCAAAGCCGGGGTGCAATGGGAGCGGAGAGGTACCTACAGAAGATAGTGATTCCTATGTTCTGCTCATCGTCTGGATAGTAGGAGAACAGGAAGGTCCCGGGGTTCTTGCTATGCAGAAAATGGGCAAAAAATTCGATGCCATTTTCTGGAGGAGAAAGCCTCTGGTGAGATTGGAGTGGGGGTCACAGTGGTTCATGTGCTGCAGGTGAGGAAGCCTGGGGCCCCAGGGTGACTCGGAACCCATCACTGAAGGCCACGGCCACACAGCCCAGCTTTTGCTGTGAGCCTGGCAGGGCTAAGTGTGTTGAGTGGCATGGGAAATGTGGATCTTCCTGCAGACTAGCCGGCAGGGTCTCTGCAGGGTGAGGCCCCGGGGCAGCTGGGGCCTGCCGCTGGCGTATACATTCGTTGGCGCCTACTGGGTGCCCTCTAGTGGTGACAGTGGGACATGGGGGATGTCCCTGCCTGACAACATTCAGGGACCTGCTGAGCTCCCAGAGGAGAAAGTGGTTAAGAGAGGCAAGCTGTGTGATTCTAGGGAAATTCTTGATGTCTCTGTTTCTCCAATTCCTCATCAGATCACTGTAATGCTCTCGTAGGGCTGTTGGTGAGAACTAAGTGGGTTTACTGCTGGGAAGCATTTCCAACATGCTTGGCAACCAGCAAGAGCTCAACACTTGTAGCTATACTGATCAGCTCTGTGCAGGCACCAGAATCTGTCCTATGTTCTCTGGGCCCAAAGTCCTCAGGCTCTCGGCCCCAGCCCTTTCCTTGAGACGCGTTCACCCTCCCACCAAACCACCCCTCTTGACCACCTCAACCTTACCGTTTCTGGCCAGCGTCCCATTCTTCCGCTGGACAGTCAAGTAGCTATCGTTAAAAACGCACCGATCCCCACTGGAATCAGAGAGAGCCGGGGAGAAAAGTCGTAAGATGGTCAAGGAGAAGTGGACAAGTGCCCATCTGAACTGAGAGGCAAGAGTCAGGTGGCCATTAGCATCACCCTCCCAGTGCCATGGATGTGAAGGCCGAGATCAGGAAGAGGGAGGGTCTGCTCCAGTCCAGCCCCTGGGAGTAGAAGCTGGGGAGAGTGGGACTCTTACATAGTCTGGTACTCTTGGATATGTATCGTGTCCTCCGTCTTGTTGGGGATAAAGTAAAAGAAGGCTGAGTGAATCATTCTAGCCGATTGATTGAACTCAGGCTTGCGGAAGATGGAGGCGACATAGTACCACTTGCCAGAGAGCTGGGAAGAAGCCAGGGGTGATGGAGACTCAGGCTGAGGCCTTGAGGGTCAGCTGCGGTGATCTGGGGCAGAGTCCCTGTCTATTCGCAAACAGGGAGATGGGGCTCCAGGTGGGGAGGGACATCTAAGAGCTCTCTCCATAGACCAGTACCCCACCCCCCCGCCCCCCAGGTGGGCCCCTTGTGTTTAGCTCTGTGTTCCCTACTGAGAAATTGCAATGGGGCATGTGACTTGGAGGCCATGACATGCCTCTGAAGTCCACCAGGTGGGTCAGAACTTCACCCCAGGGCCCAGAAGAGGGGATACACACCACCAAACGGGGCGCAGGCACTCACAAAGTCCAAAGTGACATTGGTGATGGGCTTTGCCGTGAAGTTGGCGCATTCTGGGCTCTGGGCGCTCAGCAGAGGAAGGAGGCTCAGGACGGCGAGGGCCCAGGGCAGCGCCATGCTGGGGCGAGAGGTACCTGCAGTGAGGAGCGCTGGCGGCTGCAGGGTGCAGGGACTTTTGTAAAGAGCTGTGGGCGGGGCCTAGGGACCTGGCCGGGACCCAACCCAGGGGAGTTTGGAAACTGCCTTGCACAAAACTATCTCCTTCCCCCAAAGCCTCCCGGCCCAAGTGTAATTTGGGTCCCAGACTAGGGGAGGGGCCGAGAGGTGACTAGGGCACAAAGGTCTGGCTGTTCAAAGCCACAGTGGGCGGGGGCTGGAGGGATATCAATGAACATGTGTGGATTTCAATGCAGGGGCTGTAAAGACATTGCACAAGTAGTGAGCATTTCTGTTCTACTAACTACCAAAGCTGAGCAAGTAGAGCTGAAGCCACTTGAGTTCCCAGGCTAATGTGTTGTGCAAGTGGGGTGAGGGTAGGGGAGAGTTTGGAGGTGAGAGCAAACATGGAGTCTAGTCCAACTGAGTGTGGAAGAGCCATGGAAGTGCGAAGTTCAGAGGGACCGCTCCAAAAGAATAGGGCATCTCAGTGGAATGTCTCTTTCTAGTAAATGTATTGCTGGAACATCTCCTCCATCTAACACAGGGCACTTTACCCACTGCGAGTGGGCAGCTTGTCTCTCTTCTTCCCACTGTGTCTTGGCATTCAGGAGCCCCTTTGGGAGGAAAAATGCCACAGCCCATGTGCATTTCTACAGCACAGGGGGAAGGTCAAATCTTTATCCATCCAAATAAATACTTTCACAAAGCGTCATCAAGGTGTGCTTACCATTTGTAGTCTTAACTATTGCATACTGTTTTGAGTAATTTGTCATGGTTCAACAAAACATCTTAATGGATTTGGAACCTCTCATTCACTTCCTCAATTTGAACCTACTTAATTCTGTCCTCTTTTCATAGCTTTTTCACTTTGAGCTACAGTTGAGCAACAGTTGTTTCTAGGATTTTACACTGTGATTTCTCTCTTTGAAGTCTCATGCCAGACTGACCAAATTGCTTGCTAAAATTGCCAAACCATTCAAGAGAAAGAAAATTTTATGTGTTGCCTAGGAAATTTAAGTGTTTTCAAAATAGCAAAAACATAGAAACCATTCAAATATCCACCAATAGGAAAAGGGGAAAAATATATATATAGTGGTATTTCATTTAATGGAATATTAGTGAGCAATGAAAAGAAGTGAATCACTGAGGTGCATGTAACAACATGAATAAATCTTAAAAACATGCTGTGCAAAGAACTCAGTCTCACAGAGCACATACTATATGATTCCATTTACATGAAACTCCAGAACAGTCAAAGTTAATGTATAGTGATAGACATCATGTCAGCAGTTCCCTAGGGCAAGGAGAGCAATTTGAATGCAAAGGAAAAGGATCTTTCTGAAGTAGATGGCAATGTTCTATATTTTCATTACGATTGCATTTACATATGTGTACACATTTTTGAAGATTCAATGAACTTCCGCTGTGTACATCTTATTTTATGCATCAATAAAGCAGATTAAAAAAAAAAACTCTTTCTAAAATATAGGAAAAAAAACCTTTCCAATCAATAAGTAATGATTTCTGATGTTGCATAATCAAATTTGCAGGTGTTCAAATGAGTCTTTCTCCACCTCCTTGTCAATACTGAAATTTCTCCTCTTTCTGTCATTATTTTGTCAAACTCTGTGAGTTTTTGAATTTTCCCTGGTCTAACTTGAATCATGAAAAATGATCAGAGTTTTTAGAGAACGAAGGTTACAAATGAGAGAGCAAGAGGTGCAGGACGGACCTGCGAGGTCACAGCTGGAACGTGAGCTGGTGTGGGGGTGACTGGGGCAACCCAGTCTGAGCGGAGAGGGTGGGGGAAGTCAAGGCTGCAGAGCAGCTGCCCATGCTGAAGGTATGCAGTGGGCCCTGGGTGTATGGGGGGAAATGGGGTCTCGATAGGGTAGGAGGGTAACCGTCTGCTTGGCTCCGACCGTCTGCAGGGAGGGTAGAAATGGAGAGTGGATTTGGGAGACAGTGGGAGGCCTCTGCCGTGGTCCAGCTTGACCTGATGGGGCGGGGGAAGACCCAAGTCACCGTGTCTCTCAAGGACAGACTAAGGGGCGTGTGGGACAGCACTCCATTATGCTTGGCCAGATGGGGCTCCCGCTCAGAGCCCAGAGCTTGAGAAGGCCCTGCTCCCCTCACTCCTGACAACACACGCACAGTTGATTCCAACACAAGCACTTTGCCACTTGGGATCTGGTAGTCCGTGACCCATAACCTTGAACAAGGTTTTTCACCCCCAATGCTATGCAGGCTCCTGGAGACACACGTCTCACCTCTTCCACTTGACCCTCAAAGCAGCCAATCACTGTGCCCACATGTCCTGGGCTCTGCGTGTTACGTGCCACTGACACAGGAGGTGGACACGGGCTTAGAGATCAGAGCGGATTTAGGTGGATTTAGAGGTAAGACAAAAGTTCCTATTCTCTTTCAATAGACACAACAAACTCTTGCAATATCAATTCTTGTTTCCCAATAGCGCCTAAAGTCCACTTTCTTACGACATAGGACTGGGGAGGTCCTTCCCAGGTAGAAATAGGCAGTATTTACAGGAGCTGTCCATGATAGCTGAGAAGCATTTGGCAAGCCCTCAATGTGTGGGAGGTAGATGCATGACAGATAAATGTGACTCTTGACGTGGGCAGCCTAACCTTGCCTGCCCCCATCGGGAATAGCTTTCCGTGTATAAAATATTTGAGCAAGACTGAACTCATGAAATGAATCTCAGCACTAAAACTGGCCCTGGCAGCTTTACTTCATGCATTTCACAGCTGCGTCTGGGTACTGGTGCAGTGGTCTGTGGGTCTCTGCTTGCTGCTGGGAAAGGTTCTAGGGGAGCCTGAGTGGGGCGAAGGACCCAGGCCAGGCTCCGCTCCTTGTAGTCTTTAGCTCTGGCCCAACCTGCAAGGAACCGAAGCCAAACCTCAGGCTGTAGAGATGATGAGAAACACACATTTGATCTCTACTCGTTTGACCGCACAGCTACCAACATCCTTAGGACCTCTACGAGTCCAATGTTTTGTTGCGTAGTAATTGTTTGCCATGGAGGGGGGGCAGCCTCAGGGTGGGAACTGGTTCCCAGAGCAGCCAATCCTGTGAGGACAGGGCTGGAACTTTGGGTGTCGCCTCCACACCTCTGGGGAGCGGAGAGGGGCAGATTAGTGATTCAGTCATCAACAGCCAGGGGCTTAACCAGCTATGCCGACATTATGCCTCCAGAGGAATCCCAAGAATTGGGGTGCAGCTTGGGGAACATGAGGAGGTGGGAGTGAGTAGGGGCACACCTGGGGAGGTCGCGGAGACTTCCCACAAACACAACCCTCCCCACATCCCTTGCCCTAGGTTGCTCCTGTTTGACTGTTCCTGGCCTACATTATTTTATAATAAACTGCTGACTTAGTATGAAAACTGTTCTCTTGAGTTCTTCCGGTTGTCCTAACAAACGATACAACCAGAAGGATTGTGATTTATTACGGGTCAGTTAGAAGCACCAGTGACAAGCTGGACCTGAGACTGGTTTCCAAAGTGGGGGTGAGCTTGGGGGATTGAACCTTTCCTTTATGGGATCTGGTGCTGTCTCCAGTTACTGCCAGAACAGAATTGAATTGCAGAACACTGGGTGTGACCTGAAGTCAGAGAATCAACCGCTTGGCGTAGGAGAAAACCCCCTCCTTGGTGGCAAGAATATTGGGAGTGGAGCTAGTTAAGTCTGTGCCTTGCAGTGATAATCTGAGCGCCTCTACCCTGAGGAGACAGCAGTCCTCTGAAAGTGAGCCAAGTGAGGCGGGCCAGGGGTGGGGGCTGACCTTGGTGGTGTGTCATTGCCCCCACCCGATACTAGTAACTGCTGATATAACCCCAAAGCTGGCTGCTTCTCTCAGACACCCCTCTTCTCCAGTGGTCAGTGCCAAAAGCCCCAGATTTTAACAGTCAAAAGCCTTAGTTCTGTCCCTTCCCCATCAGCCTGCACTTGGAGTTGGAGTTTAAAAAGCTCCACCTTCTCCTAGAGTGGACATGAGGGGTGTGGCATCTAGAAAGCTACTCTTCCTGCCATCAAATTGGCCATGAGCACTGTCCACTGGCTCCTCACCCTGTTATCCTGGAGCAATCACGCTGTGTGTGGTGGGTAAGCAGGAAGGCTAGATCACCCCCAGTTTGCAGAGAGAAATGGAGGCCCAAGAAAGAGCAACAGCCACCCAAGACCATGCTCTGGTCAGGAACTGAGCCTGGAGTCCACCGGGCTGGTGGTCACTGTGCCATTAACTCTCTGCAGTCTCCTTTGTTGTGGACAAAACAAACAGGCGACCTTGGCTCTTTCCAGATTTGGCAGGGCCAGTGACGGTCACCCTGGCGGCTTCCGGACACTCAGTTATGTAACAGGAGATTGGGAATTGCAGTTTGGGGAGGCTGTGCCATCACACCATAGCCCCAAAGCTGGGGTTATGGCGGCCATGACCTTCTGCCCACCCTGGCTGGGAAGGAGCTGGCCGGCTTCCCTAGCCTACTGATCAGGACAGAGACTCCCCTGGGTGGGGACCCAGCTGAGAACCACCGTGTCACAGCTTTACCATGGCCCCTTTACCACCCACCCCACCCCCATCGCTCCTCTTGACTGGCTCATTCTCTCCCTGGCCACCCAAACCCCACAGAGGCAGCTGATGGCCTGGGGACACCAGCTGTGGTGCAGGCCACCCTCCTGTCCTCCCGGCTCACCCTCATCCTGCTGAACAGCTCCTCCGGCGCCCACCGCAGCTCTGGCCAGCCCATCAGCACAAATCTGCTCGCTCAGGGCTTATTCTTTTCCCAGCCCAGGACCCTGTATTTCTCCACACTTGGCCTTGCAGCACTGCTGAAACTATTCAGTGCCCCCCCCAAACAAGCAGCACTGCTTTGCTCTGGCCTCCAGAGGAGCTGTTCTCACCCCCCAATGCCCACCCCCATTGTGCTGCCTCTAGTCTTTTCCGCTCAGCCTCAGCTTGCAATGGTTAACTCATGTGTCAACTAACAGGACCAGAGAGATCTGGTTGGGCGTTCTGCTGTGTGAGACTGTTTTAGGATGAGACGACCGAGTGGGTAGCTTGAGTAGTCAAACAGTTTGCTCATCCCCATGTGGTGGGCCTCCTCTAATCCGTTGAAGGCCTGAGCAGAATGATAAGGCGAGGGAAGAAAGAACTCCTCCTGTCTAGCTGCTTGAGATGGGACATAGGTCTTTTCCTACCTTTGCACATGGGCCCAAGCATCATCCCGTCTGGCTCTCGAACCTGCCACCTTCGGACTAGAACCACATTATCAGTGCTCCTGGGTCTGTCGCTGGCCTGCTCACGCTGCAGACCTTGCAACTGGCCCCAGCATAATCTCAGAAGTCCTTGCTGTATGTAAGTTTCCATATGTGTAAGCAGAGACTCAAGGTTCTTGGAAACTGACTTTAGATGAAACTATAAAGAAGATGTCAGGTGAGTATCTGCTGCACACGCACGCACACACACGATATTGGCTGTCTCTCCAGAGAATGATGGATGACTCCAGGTGATTCCACTCCCCACACTGAGACTGTGTGAAAGTGCCCCTTATGCCCCACCCCGCTGGGTCTTGAGACCTGGCCCTTGAGCCTGAGACCTGGCCCTTCACCACACCAGGCCCCTCACTTCAATAGCCTCCACCAGACGCACGGGCTCTCAGACACGCTGCCAGGCGATCCACTCCAACTCCAGTGCCCACCGTGACTGACACCCGCAAATCAGACCAGCCTACGCCCGAGGGCCCATCCCTCCATGTTTTCCAAAGAAGCACAGGGCACAGAGGCATCATATTCCATTGCCTCAGTTTTAAATATTTATTTAAAATCCAGAAGGGACAAGGAGAAACGGAACCCACTGGGGGTTTAGCACACCGACATGTGGACAGAGACATGGACGAGAACAGCAGAAAAATCCAAGGATGAGACGTAGGCCAGGTGGAGACTGGCGGCATAGCACTGAGGTGTGGCCAGAGGGGCGACGACAATGCACTTTTGTGGGGGATCTCAGACGGGGGCAGGGGAGCCAGGGATAGAGGGAGAGGGCCTAAGAGGGTGGGCCAGAGTGAGGTATTAAATAATGAAAGTCAAAGCCAATTCCCAAAGAGACACAACTTTAGAAGGAAAAAAAAAAAAAGACACAATAGACTTTCACATAAAATTTCCCCTTCTATAAAAATAATTCCATAGTTAAAATAACCTCGAAATCCTACCTGGGTGCCGACTGGTTCACTGATAAGAGTAAAATTCAGGGTACACTGAACATCCCCAATCATGCCGAACTCTGAGGGCCCCCCAATATTTCTTTGTTCTCAGCCTACATTTCTACTTGGAGCTAACGGTGTTGGGTTCCTATCGAGTTCAGCAACAGGGCAAAAGGGAGAATGACGATTGCATCCTGGGAGGACAAGCTCTTGCCCCATATACATGTTCCAGCCCCAAAGTCAGTCCTACCCAATGTGGCTCTTAGGTTGTCTTCAAGGTCAAGGCTTCTCCCAGGTCCCTGCGATCTGGATTGCGCCCTCCAAGACAAGCCTACATTCCCTCCAGAATGTGAAAGGTCAAGTCAAAACCCTTCGAGCTCAGGGCCCCTCCACTGGCCCCTTTGCCTTAAGAGGAAAGAGGACAAATCATTCAAAGCCAAAGGCAAATGACTTCTGTTTCTGCTAGATGTTTCATTTTGGCGGCTTCTTTCCTCAATTTCCCCTACCCCCTCCTGAAGGGATTATCTGATGAACACAAGGGAGATGCTAGGAAAATGTGAAAACTGCCCCCCAAACTTTGCCATTTGGAGGAGAGAGAAAATGTGGATGAGATCCCTACATCAACATGTATCCAAAGTCTGTGGCAAAAATGGTAGCACCTTCAGAATCTTAAATAGGTTTTTTGTTTCCTTAAAAAATTTCACATACATGACGAGAAAATTGCGAGCACCAGAGATTTCACAGTGGGAGGTAGCAAACGAGGTCACCCCAGCCCCCCTGGATCATGCTGCTCCCCCTGGACATCTATCTATCACTTCCCACCTCCTGGCTGCTCACTCTCACCCTCTCACCTCTTACCCAGGTGAAAAAAATAGTAACCCACCTTCTTTGTGTTTGTTTAAATAAAATATATATCCTTCTTTCTTTCCTTTTCTCCTTTTTTTTTCATGTCTCCTCTCTAATATTGCACATCAAAATTCCCTGGCAGGGCCCAGGGACGAGCTGCCCCCTTCCCTCCAGCCGGCTTGAAGGTGGGGCTCTTTGGGCGGAAAGCTGGGGTGGGAAGGGGCTGGGTGCAGAGCTGGGAGAGAGTCTGCAGCTCCTGTGGGTTGCAGGTCCAGCTTGCTCGAGCTGGCTCTTTGGTTGGTCTTTAGGGCTGAGCTGGGAGCAGTTGTTCCCAAGGACACCCCTTTCCCAGCTACCCCCAACCACTTCTACCAGGCAGACAACAGCGGGGGCCTGCTCAAGGCCTCTCGGGGCCCACCTGCCACTAGGTCCCTTCCTGTGCCTACCCCCCTTGCTCTCCCTCCCCCGCGAGGCCTAGAGGAACCAGGAGGTCAGAGGTCAGAGGAAGCACGCAGGTCCAACTTCCAGGCGGTACTGCTTCCCTGATGAGGCAGGAGGAAGGTTGTCCACGCTGACAATGGGCAGCTGCTGGGGGTCCTGGGTCCGGAAGGTGAAGAGTGTCTGATGCCAGCGGCCATCCTGGACCTGAGGGTAGAAGCACAAGGGTACACGTGTCCCCACCGGGGTCCCTGCCACATACATGTGCAGGTCCCCTCCAACGGGGCTCACTCTTCTTTTTTTTTAAGATTTATTTTATTTATGCATACAGAGCTGGGGTACAGGCCAGAGGTGCAGGGGCGGC